CCTTTCCAACACTGCGGCTAGAGATAGCCCTATTCTCACCAACTCCTACACTCCGAAGCCATGTCCCAGTGCTCTTACCCTGGCCTCAGACCAGGTCACCTGGCAGTTTCCATCTGCCAGACAAGAAGCTGGGAACTTGGCTTGCTCTCCTCCTCCAGTGTCTTGGAAACCCACCCCAGTGCAAACCTGTTGCACATGTATCTGTAATGCCAGTGATGAAGACATCAGCTCCCAGCAGCAGAAGGTGCTGAAGCTCGTGCCCAAACTGCTCTGTGCTTCCTGCAGCTTTTTAAGATTGGCGACTACAGTTGCAGGCCCTGTGCCTGCACATACCCACCTGCTTTCCATGGGTCTCTTTATTTCTCTTGCATGAGCAAACAGAAAAAGAGATCTGATTCTACGACTGAAAGTTACTTGGAGGGAGCAATAGCCAACTATGGGGCAAACACTGAGGACCTCTGCTAAGGGTCTGCTGCCCTGGGGACAGAAACCAAGACCTTGGGGGGTAGAGAGGGTGATTTTCATTGCTTTGTTTTATTTGGAAGCTCTTCGATCCTGGGATAGGAAAGAACTGAGTAAAAGAAGCAGAAGAAAAGTAACCAAGACTCCAGAGAAGCCAACCTTGGAAGATTACAGGAACTTTTCATCAGTAACTGTCTGAAATTAGAAACATAGAGACAAAACAAGACAAATCCAGAGACTGCCTCTGGAAGACAGTTGCCAGATACAGAAATAAGTTAGGACTGAAGCTGCTGAATTATTTTTGAGGGATTTTACACTCAAAGAAAAAGTAAAGAAAAATTATTATAGCACATATATGCTTGCTGATAATGTGCAATACCCAAATGGAATATGTCTCAGGAAGAGATGAGCATGCAAAATCACTTTTTACTGGTAGAGTTCAGGACAAATAAACCCAAAGAGCAGAGGAAAATCATCAGCAAAGTAATAGTGGAAATCGAAAGGGCTTTCTTCAGTGAAGGACTATTAAAATTTATTTTTGTCGGTAAGGAGTACAACACTGAAAGGAGATTACCACATTGGGAGAGAAAACACCACCCCTTGCTGAGAACCGTGAGAAAGTCCAATGAATGAAGGATTTTATCTCTGTATATATTCCACCGAGTTGCTGCTACATTGGATCTGGATTCCAGGGATGCTACCAGAAGAGTGTAAAACCTTCCATGCCTCTATAATGAATGGGTACACTTTTATTTAAGTAATAAAAGTGATATAATTCTTGTTTGTTTATGGTTTACAAAGTATTCTTGTAAGTCAGTACTGGGAAATACACTGTTGCAAAATGTTTGTTTGAAGAATAGGTAAACACGCACGAATTGTGATACATCCGGCTGAAAGAAAGCAGCAGAGGGCAGTGTGATTAGTTTGCTGAGAACAAATCTCTGGATATTCTTTTCATTCCTCATCACCACAATACAGGTAGTGAAGGGATGGTGCTATGCAACTGGAAAGGTAGCTGGAGATCGAGGAAGGACAACAGTCAGTCTAAAGGCCAAATAACTAAGCTGATATTCTAGAATCACCACATGCACATCACTCTAAAATTCATACTAACATCAACTGTATTTGATACAGGAGGAAAACTGAACAAGTCTGTCCCTAGCCCCATGTATTCAGTCTACCTTCAGCAGCGCAACATGAAAAACTAGTCAAGCACTCCAGGGAGAATGAAACCTTTAGACTTGGAAGGTAGAAGCACTTAACAGTACCAGGTGATGCAGGAAATCTAAATGCAACTGAAAGAGTTGAAGAAAACAATCCGGAAGAGAATTGTTTTCATTTAAAATGTGTCAGGTTGTTAAGATCTGCATCGACAGATGATGCATAAGAAGGCAAGAAAAAGAACAAGAAGAAAATAATAATGAGGAATAGGGAAGAATTCATCCAGAGTAAGATACCTTTTCCCTCCACAAGATAGTCCGTAGTTGCTTGATAGAAGGTTTCATTATATTTTCTTTGAAACATCTTGTGTAATTTGCTGATCTGATTTGCTATGACTGTTCCTAACGCACAACACAGGAAACTTTATCATAAGAAAATAGCAATAGAAATTGAATCTAATGATTTCTGGGGACTGAGGGACTTTGAAGTAGGATCATAAGAAAATTGCATGGGAGGGAGAGGAAAAAAGAAGAGAGGCCAAGAGTTACCATGAAAGGCATTAATATGCTATGTTATAGTATAAACAAATCAACATAGCATCTGGGTTAATTAAAATTATTAAATCAAATATTCTACTAATTCAGATTCCTCAAATAAAGGGGGGTTCTTGAAATTAAAAACTAAAAAGAGGAGTTGAGTTGATTTTGTTTAAAAAAAGGTAATGATCATCAGTGATGCATTTGAACAGTTTGCTTCTTTTATGATTTTAGAAAATCACACATGTTAATTTTATTAAAAAAGGGTTACACCTAAAACTACCACTTTTCATTGACATATCTCTGAACATTGTGAATAATTCCACAGTGTAACTGTTAGCATTTACATTTGTCTGAACAAAACTGGACATCTGAAATATACTGGAACCCCATCTAGACTAGGATCACAGTGAGTACCTAGAACTATATTTTTATAGTAATATGGACCTAAAAGCCACAGATGATAATAATACAGAATAATGCACCAATACCTTGACCCCATTGCAAAGAACTTCCCAGGGACAATACAGTATTACTGTAATGATCAACACCCAAGGAGATTTTACTTTGTTTGCAGATCTTGTTAGGAAAATGCATTATGAAAATAAAAAATAGATTTTACACAGAGGCTATCTAGGAATATTTCACACATTTAACTACCTTTTAAGTGTAATAATTCCAGAATGTTAACTACGTTCACTCCTTTTGCCACAAGTTTAGCCAAAATGGATGGACAGGCACAATCAAAGACACCGATCATGATGTACAGGTAAGCTAAAAGAAATCTCAGCTTTGCAAAAATAGAAGTCTTGGATAAGAGAAATTTTGAGGCTTGTTACAACTTTACAAATGCTCTTCAATTACATTTTGCTAAATCATAATTCCCACAAGTAGTACTTCAGAGCAAATACTTTTAGGAGTGATATCACTCCATAAGCTCGCATATTGAGGTTTTTTTCCCTGACACATTACTTGGCATGAAATGTTTCTAGGATTGCTACTCAAGTACCTTGGTGAAAAAGATAGTGGTGTACATAGCTGAAGTACCTGTAGGCAATCTACTTGATGATTCACATGTCCTTATTAAGCCTCTTCTTGTCACAGGGAGTGTGTTCTAAAGCAGCAAGATTCTACAATATTGATTTTTTTTAAAATCACATTAATGGAGCAAAAATTCAAATAAAAATAATTGTCTCTCAGTGCAGTGCATGCTAAGGAATTTAATTCCATTGTTATTCAGACAAAGGGCTCTTTTTCTTCCATAATCTTATTTCCTCTATACAAAAGGTTTATGTATGACTAAAATTAAGTACCTATTGAGGAGATATGATTCCTGTTTTACCTAATATCTTTGATTCCAAAACTGAAAAACATTCCTGAAACAAAAAGCTGCATTATTATTGTCTCAAGAAGTGAATCTTTTTGGCTGTGAGTGTTGTGTTCAGAAACCTCTTTTATAAAACAGAATCTAAGTTTATTACCTGAAACATAAATAACATGGGTGTTAGCAAACTATTCTCCCTCTCTAAACAGAGGGGTTTTATGCCTAGTTAAAAGATGAGTGAGAAATCAATTTTATGATCAGTATTTGACATTTGTCCACAGCAGAGAGGCACCATATGACTTGACAGTTGCCGATTCTGTGCTTAGGGCTGAAAAGGTATAAAAAGGGGGGGATTTGTAGGTCAAAAATTAGTTCCCTTGCCACTGCTTCTAGAGAAGCTGGCAAAGCATATGGCCCTACTGAAATGTCTGTTCTGTGCTTGGAGGCTGCAGACAAATTTACATCCAAAGAGACAATTTTTCTTTTTTAGCTTAACCTAGTCTCTGCTTCAGTGTCTGGATTTTGTTCTATTGTCACCAGTCCCCAGTAAGTAAAGATCAATCAGCAAGTCTTTTGACAAACTGACAGCATTTTCCTCTGTCAACGGAGTACATCTGGGATGAAACTCAAGCACCTTCTCAAATAGCTGTGGCAGCAACAGTAAAAACTGCTGCCTCAAAATTAAAAAAAAGTGTCCTAGGAGAACATACATGTTTGTAATTTAAACTGCACACAATTAGATTTTACCACCCTTTTACTGGGTTTAAAAATAGCACCGTTGTCTTTGTAGCCAGCTATTGCAAACTCAAAGAAATTATACATTCATAATAAACAGGAACAACCTTTCAAAATATAAAGTCTTTACCAAGTGTGCAAGCATCCATACCCTGCCTCCCTCACATCATCCATCCACCTGAACACTGTGCACATGGACCGACTTATTAAAATTTCAGAGATGGCTGTACAATCACCCTTCTGCACAGAAATCGAGCAGCTTAAATCTGCAGTGTGCTCAACACCTTCAGCCTTCCCAAAATTCCTGCTCAACAATCGGCGTGAATCGCCTATCCCCACCAACGCAGACTGTCACCAGCCCGTGTAACAGATAAGTGAGGTTCCAGCAGCGCATGGTAAGCATCAGGTACAGATACAACAGGTTACTGAAACAGGGGGAAATAGCCGTAACCTGTGAGCAATACATGCAGAGAAGAGCAGCTCAATAGCAACGTATTCTTCCATATCCACCCTCCAGATAATCACAAGGTTTTTTTTACTTACGACGCTTCTATGGCACAGAGCACCCCATGTATGTTAATTACCAGGCATTTGGGGGTGGGGGCGAGAACAGGGGTTTCGGGCGCCTTAGAGGAGCCGTGAAACTTTTCTGACGGCGGGGACCGAAGTTGAGGACGGGAAGCTCCGGCAGCCCCACCGCCCCAGGGCGAAGCCTCCGAGCCCAACCCGGCCCCGCGCCCCCACCCCGCTCCGGCCGCAGCCCCGGTCGAGCCCTGCGGTACCTGCGCTGCCGCCGCCGCGGGCAGGGGGTTGTCCAGTAGCTCCATCTGCACCTCCTGCGCCGGGCTGGGAGGCGATTTGGACATGTCTCTCTGGACCATTGGCGAGGAGAGCGGGCGGCTGGGCGCCGAGCCCCTCGGCGGGACAGAGCCGAGCCGAGCCGGGGCGGCAGGCGCCGCTCAGCGCCCGGCCATGCCGCGGAGCGGGCGAGCGGCCCTGCCCTGCCCTGCCCAGCCCTGGTTGTGCCGGCGGGGAGCGCGCTCGGCGCCGGGGGACGGGGCAGCGCCGGCGGCGGGCGCGGGGGAGGGCAGGGGGCGGCGCTGGGGAAGAGAGAAAGTGACAGCGAGCATCTCCCTCCCGGCAGCGCAGGGCGGGGGCGGTGCCGCGCTCCCTGCAGGGCTCCCCGTCGGCCCCTCTGGATGCGCGGACGCGGCGGAGTGGCCAGCGGGAAAGTTGGAGACGGGGACCGGGGAGGGGTCAGGCCCTGTTTGTCCTTTCAGCCCTGCCGGACATCTCAACCCTGGCCGCAAGGTATCGCCTGCCTCGGCCCTCGTCTGAGCCCAATCCATGGTTTTAGTGGGGAAACCGGCACTTTCAAAGATAAAGTTCTGTAGATCTGTCGTGTTGATACGGGTTTTGCCTGTACTTGGCCCTTTCTGTGCACATATCAACAAGGGATGAGCGAGATGAAACCAACCTTCTAATTTTGTACAACCTATAGCAGCACAATCTCAATCGTGCCATCGGTACCCCACAGGAGGCTTTTGAAAGACCTGTTCAAAACCCGACCTGGGAAAATCGCCTTCCACCCCTGAGGTGATCTGTCATGCCTAAGAAATCTTTGTGACACCCAACTTAATGACTGTCTTGATAGACACTAAACTCTCTGACCCCATAAACCCCACTTGTAATCTTGTTACTTTTTGTTTTGATCACTGGGTTGGACCTAGCTGTTGCTGCATGCAGCATGAGAGGGAAACTTAGGTTTTCAGTATCCCTTCGTGATTGCTTGTGAAATCTCTTATCAGCTGATTGTAAAGGCAGTAAAGAAATTAAGTGGACTAATGCCATATACTTGAAATCACAACCATTACTAAAAGCAATATAATAGTCACTTACAGGAAAAGAAACCAGTAAAGCAAAGCCAGCACAAAAGCCAGATCAGTTTTGAGACATACTTTCATGCTTTTTCTCAATTGCATGGTTGATTTATTTCATTTTTCATAATAGCTAATAGATTTTCTCTCTAAATTAGCTTACCCCTATGGATTTTCTCATATGAATAGTGAAAATCCTACAGGAACTGCCCACTTTTTTTGTGAAGAAATTGGCTTTCTTTGCAAGTGGAAGCGCTCCAAGGTTTGAAGAAGCTTGGGAACTTTCACTTGTCCAAAAAGTTTCACATTTCATTTTGAAATGTTGTAGTAGTATTCTTCAAAAATAATTTCTAAAATTTTGTTCTTGTCCATGGCAAAATAGAACCTTAATTTTAAGTGAAAAGAATGTCTTTTATGTGCTTAACTTTCAAAAGATGCACACTTCACCTTCTAATAGAGGCCTCAAAGCACTTATCTCTTTTTCACTTCAAATTAGATTGTTTTAATGGAATTACTTTTTGTGACCATCATCATAATTAAGGAACTTACTGAAAAACCTGAACACAATATTCCTGTTAATGATTACTGAGTGGGGTGTTGTTATCGAAAGATGTTGTCTTTGACTTCTAACACCTTGACTGCTTTGGAACCATTTACCATTCTATCATACTCTAGGAAAGACACTTGATGATCTGCCATGATTCAGTACCTTTACTTGGTAGATATTCAGGCATCTGTCAGAGATCACCTGTTCTGTCTCACACAGAGAAGGGAGTGGAAGTTATTTAATCATGTAACAGTGGTCCTTTGTATTCCCTTCTGAATTTTCACTTTTTAAAGGGTGTATAAGTGACAGCATTTTTTTCAAGCATACCATCCTTCTTTAAGAGTAGCAGTGACCATTTTGGAAATATTATAGTTTCTAAAACCATAAATTGCACATCTGGATTGAAAGGGTATTTCTACTCCCTTATAAATTAGAGCTTGAATATATCAAACAAAGGTAATTTTTTGTGTGCTTTCTTATATTTTTATGACTAATTTCTTTTTTTTTCTTTCCTTTTTAAAAATATAATGGCCATGATTTTGCTTGTTTATATACACACATATATGGGCTGCAGAAAGCAGGAAAAAAGTTTTTAAGGCACAAATAAACAGAAGGGAAATCACTTACTTAAAATAAATATAAATATTTATGTTGTACATTTTTCTCTAAATAAACCCACAAGAACCCCCTCAACACACACTAATCACATCTGAATTTCTAATAAGTTTATTTTGCTCTTCTTCCTGAGGAAAAACCTTCTACCTAACTGTTCTTTAGCAGCAATTATAATTTGTTGCCTTGATGTAATGAGTGGCTTGAAGATTAGCCTAGAAATACAATTGTAAGTGTCTTACTCTGCTTCACTCCTTTTGTCTAGCAGTTGATCAGTGTTCTCTAACCTTGAAATGTGCGGTGAACACATATACATGTAGTCATCTCTCTGCATCCTGTTTTTGGCCACATCTGCTCCAGGATAAGGATCAGTGTGTAAAAACAACATGCAGAGGTCCTAAATTGCTTGTTCTTTCTCAGGGAGAAAAGCAACATGGTATGCCTAGCCACTTCTCAACAGAAAACCACACTGCTGCATTTATTTACACTTTTATCTGCAATGGAGAGGTGTCGTGCATGCTTATTTGCGTTTAGCTAAACATGTAAATTTTAGAAAACCAGGCAAAAATAGAAGCTGTTTTGTTTGAAGTTGTTTGTTTGTCTGTTTTGCTTTAAAAAAACAACCCCAGACCTTAGGCTGACAAAGAAGATAACCTGATTGGGGTGCCAAAAAATATGTGGGTTTGTTGCATGAGAGATTATACATTATTTTAGAGCAAGGAGGACTGCATTACTTTGTAGGTTTAATTGTTCTTTACCACCAAGATGAGATTGTGGTGTCAGCACCATGTCCTAACCTTGTATACATGTATAGCAAGTATAGGTTTGATTTAGTCTGTAACTATCACTTGAATGTGCAAAAACAGGCCTAGGAGGGTTGGCTGATATTTGTGCAAATGCAGCTAAAAGCTTATAACTGAGACCCAATGGATTTCATTTAAAACTTGCATAAATACGGATCAGTGAGCTTACAATGACTCTTATGAAACTACTAAAATGCTTCTAATTGAGCATATGTTTAAAGTCCTGATACAGCATATTTCTTTAGGACTATCAGTTAAAAAGAAATGCTGGCCATCTATTACTATGTGTCACATCCTGCTTAAAATCAATTGTAGATAGAAATTCAATATTGTAAAAAGAAGAATTCGCTTGATTACCTGCTTTTAATATCTGAAAACAGACATAGCTCATCTTCTTCTCCAATAATAAACCGGGAGCTGGCTGTCACAATTGCAAACTGAAGGGATTTCTCTTATTTTTGTACTTTATCTTTCACACAAGTCTGAACAAAACCACTCCAAACAGGCTCACTTATGAATCCATTATCAGTCTGTATCAGACCACAACATCATCTGGCTGAATTTAATGAACTGATCCATTCTTCCACCCTGTGTTTATTATGTTTTATTCTTTAGGATATAGGTGTCAAGCAGCAAAAAAGTCTTGACTGATATTGTTACAATATATTCAAGGGAAGATGGGATCAGAAGGAGTAAAGTTTCTACATGACGGAAGATAGAAGCAAGATATAAACACTGGCTAAAATGCTTTTAATGCACAGAAAGGCTCATGATACTTGAAAAAGCCACAACAACTACTAAGCACATATTTTCAGCCCTTTGCAAAACGTAACCAAAAAAGGCACACTCCTGCTTGCAAGCTGTTCACTTTGTGAGAGGCAAATTTGCTGTCAATGGGTTGTATACAAAGTTTATGTTTGATTAAGCACTTCTGCAGAAGTTGCTGGTTTCAGTTGATATTTTCTTTCCTTTTTTTTCCCCTCCTGTCATAACTGAGACTGCATATCTCCTTTTGTATTCCCAGTCCTTACCAACTATGGTGTTCCTATTTATAGCATTATTGCTCTCTTATTAAATACTTGAATCACAAGAGCACAAAAAGTCTTTATAGCACTCTCACCCACAAATATACTCAGCCCGTGTGACTTACTGACATGAGAGAATACTTTTAATAGGCCATGCGGCCTATGTCCAAGGGCAGCATCCGAGGTCTCCTCATCTCCTTGAGGGTTGCCTTTCCTTCAGCCTTCATTAAGGCCTGTGCTCAGCTTGGGTTTCTCTCCTTTTGGGAAGACTTTTTTTTTTTTCCACCCAAAAATCACTTATTTGTGGCCCTGAAGCAAAAATTCATTCACAAAAAATGGTGTAAGAAAAGACAATGACGACCTCTAATCTGTGTGAGGATTGGAAAACCTTCAAGGTGGTTGACAGTTAACTCATCATTACCAAGGTTGTTGGCGGTGCTAATATGCCTAGGAGTTTACAAATTCTTTGCCAATTTAGACATCCACAGATCTGAAGTGCAGATCGCTGATGGCACTGCTCCATGTTACCATCAAGTTGATTTTAACAGTGAATATTTGCCAGATGTCATTCCCCTCCCTCCTTGCCTTGGCTGTGTTAACCTGATCCTCCATGGCACACACTTGTGTCTCTGAGCATGAGGGACTCCACTCCAGAACTAAAGGTAAAATGCAGCAGAAAATTAATTACCTTTCCACAGGGTATATCTGCTTCTTTACCTCCATGAGCCATCCCACCATGAAGACCGAGTAGTGCAACTGCCAGGGTGAAAGGGGGAGGCAGCAGGAATACAGAACTCAGAGCAGAGCTGAAAAATTCCTTTCTGGCAGCACACCAACCCTTAAAGCAGCTTAGTTATAAACATTAAACTGCAAACAGGGTCGCTTTTGAGAACATTACTGCAGAATAAGGTTCATTTGGTTTCACAAAAGTAATTTTTGGTAAGTACTTTGAGTTTATGTAGCAAAGAGAGGGCAAAGAAAGACAAGTTTTCAAACTTTAGGTTGTTGCTCCTTTTTCTCCCTTATTGCTAAGCCTCTTTTACTCCTCTTTCCCCCAATTTTTACAAAAATAAAGGTTCTAATTTTGTAAGAAAACCATTTTCAATGAAGC